AGAATATCACATACCACAATCACCACCATAAACTGATTCTCTCCTTTTCTACTTTTATATATATTCTCTACTTTATATTATTATTTTGGCAATGGTTCTGTGACTTGGATACCCATATCCGTCTATGAACGTGCTCATAGCGGATCTTGAGTTTGTGTACAAGGGGTCGTATCTTGGAGTCTTGTAGACCGTCAGTACCTGCACGTAGGGAGGCTACAAAGGCTTTAGGACAGCGTCTTTGACGTGCTTCACCGTACCAAACTCACCTTCTTACTTATTATTTATTTTCCTTTTACTTACCTATTATTTTGTTTTCTTCAATTTCATTATACCTTAAAAGCTTTCCTATTTATTTATATGTTATTTATAATATAATATTTTTTTGTGTTTGGCTTTCCGGAAAAGGAAAACTATATTTTGTATATTTTTTATAACAGATCCCATGCTTCATCCTCGAGCGAATCAACACTAATCTTGTGGAAGGCATCTCTAACTGTTCTGTTCCATTAGGTGACAAGCCCTCCTTTTCCTGTTTCAACTGCTGAACATCTTGAAATTCCAAAGCATTCGGTGCATTCACCATGTTGTTGATTGTGTTCAATTTCTTTGCATTATCCGCAAACCATGTCCCATTCTCATCTTCTGTAGTTGCCCCACTTATACTTTCAGCTTGTTGGCACTTGCAACTCTGAATCCAAGAATCACCTACGGTCATAGTTCCAAACAAATCACTTCCTATCCCCTGGAATCGATAATTTCCAATACGACTTCGTTGCAGACCTAAACAACTGAGCAATTGCATGTATCTTGAGACCCTTCTCTTCCGATATTTTAGTTGGTATTTAGAAGAAAATTTAGGATCACATTTGCTAAAACATGAATCATGTTGAGAAGTCAACTAAATCCCAATATATTAGGGATTGAGTGATTATCCAAATTATATGTAATTTACTATACATGATTTGCTTTCCTTTATTAGTCTGTTGATTGAGGAAACCTGTGTATAGATACCCTTGATAATGTAAAGAGAAAATCATCCAGTAATCAAATATTCTTCCTTTGATTACAATTTTACAAATCAGTACTACAAAGACGTGGTACAGCCCCACAAAAAACTTGAAGAACTGCTTCAGAAGTTCCAGACCAAAAAAAAAAGCTTCAGAAGTGCCCATCAGCTTAATGATTGACGAATTCACTGGCCTGTATCAAGCTGATAATCCTTTCAAATTTGAAATAGTCAAAGTGAATCCAAGACCACCACTTCAACTTAAGGACAAGAATATACACCTTGAATCTGAAAAGGAGAAAACTTATTTAAATTTACTTCAACAAAAGTGTATCAGTATTAGCAGAACTATAAATAAATAAATTTAAAAGGAAATGGAAGTTGGATTATGCATTGCCAAAATAGCAATCACTGCAAGGGCAAAGTAAAAAGCATCTCCTTTTTCTTGATATTCCTAATGAACCAAATTGCTCTAGTTCTTCAATCTCTCTGAATTAAGGATGCAAAATAAAATAAGAAATCTATAATTCACATCAACATGTTGAGCTTGGGGGAGCTCTTGTGTTTGTTGCATAGCTTCTTTTGGAGTTGGTAATTGAGCTCTTGTGTTTGTTGTATAGTTGGTGAACTATTGACCCAGAGGAATCCACACAATTCCAAGTGAACTCGACAAAGACAAAGATCCAACGGTATGGAAACATATTACATGGTTAATTTTAAAAATAAAGACCCGTTAGATAATCATTTAAGTTTTTAAGTTTTAATGCAGAGAGAGCAAGAAAAATTCATATTGCAGTCGCTGATTCTTTCTTGCTTATATACCTTTCGCCCTACCATACCTCAACGAGAGAGGACTCACAATAGAATTTCGCTATTAAGCTGACGTTTGGGCAATTTTATGTGCAACAATGTGCGAGCTTAAAATTGGGTGGGTCTGTTTGGGCTTTGCCACCAAAAAAAATTGGTGGCGGGTACTTTATAAAGCTTTTACAAATCCAGTGTTTCCGAGACCACTGACAATACGTGGTCCCTAACCACTACCATTTCCCCGCCAGCAAATTCAAAACACCCAAGTGGGCGAGCCCACCCAGACTCGGTAGTCTCGCATGCACAGGAACCTCACCTCGACTATACCAAGAGAAATATAGAAAAAGAAAATCCACGTCGGAAGTGTCAGTGAGCGAGCCTCCTCAATTAAACTACTTACTAAAATAGACAGCGCCAGTCCACCGGAATTAATACTTTCCCGTCGTTTTCAAATCCGAATTAATCAAGACATAATCAAACATTAGGGTTTCTTTAACGCAACGTCTTCGTGATTTGTGATTTGCTTCCAAAATCGGAATCAATCAATGCGTGATAGAGATTCGCTTCATCTTCCTGAATCTAATTGAATCCAATTTACATAATTTGGTTCGAAATCGGAAAGTTGAGAAAAATATGGAGGAGATTGGGGGAGATTAAGGTGTGATGAGAGGAGGACTGTGAATTCTAGGGTTTTGGATTTAAGGGCCCTTTTGTTTGGAGAAAGGGCCCTTCTGCAGTCTCTGCTCAGTCTGGTTCAGAAATGAAGGAGCTGATTGGGAGGCCTGGGTCGGTGAGTGGGTTATTGCTCAGGATAGGCCAATTTTCATGCGCTTCTATTGCCATTTCAGTCATGGTCACCACTGCCGGCTTCGCTACCTTCACTGCTTTCTGGTATTTTGTTTTTCTGTTTTTCGTTATTTCAGTTACCTGCATTTTTAGTTCACCCAGAAATTATTTGGATATGATAAGGACGCCACATGTCTGATAATCATCTGTTTTTGTTTTTTTTTTTGTTTTAAATGCTTGTAATTGGACTTTGATGGGTTTTGTTTTTGCCTGTGTAATATGTTTTGGTTTGATTCCAGTGATGAACTGTTTTTGATTGGTTTAAGCTGCTGTTTTGTTGGGTTTATTGCTTTGACATTGCATTGAAGACACAACTGTTTGATAGCTGAATGGGAGATCAGACCAAGCAATTTTGTTGACGTTATGTTTTCGTGTACGAAACTGTATGGATCAGTCGGGGAGGTTTCGTCTGATTTCTTAGTTTCGCCTTAGAAAGAGATTATTGCATAATCCACTGCCTTGTTGGTACATACATAAATGCAGAAATTGTCCACACATAAGTAATTGACAAATACATTGCTTGGAATTTTTCTAATTTTTCATATTCTTCCAAAATAATCCTACGTCTCCCCCTGTTTTTAGCATGTTGTTTTTTGTAGCGATTCTATTGTTTTTATGTATGGAATTATGTTAAATTGGTATCAGTTTGTCACTTTTGTTAGTTCCTCATATTTGCTTCTTGAACCCTAATGTTATTGATTATAGTGAACTGCTATTTTTAGATTCTTTCTGATGGTTCTAAGATAGGTCTAGGTCATGAATCACTTTCTTTTTCTTGCATCTGTTTTAACTACTAGGGTTCACTGCTAGTTAATTATTCTGCACAAACTTTGTGTTGATCTCTGTCCTATGGTTCAGCTATTTGATTGCATCGATGGGGCTTCAACTGCTATGGAGCTTGGGGCTTGCTTGTCTTGATATTTATGCTTTGTGGAAAAAGAGAGACCTTCAAAATCCAATCCTAGTGAGCCTATTTGTTGTAGGTGATTGGGTATTTCACTTGTCTCTTAAACTCCTTTCACATCTTACTTTTCTGAGCATCTTTTAGTTCTTGGTAGAATATGAATCAGATGCATGCATGTGCGTCTGCTAAGTTGTCGCTGATATTCTATTTTGGGCGTGTTTGAGATTGTATACTGGCTGCTGAAATAAATAAAAATCTCAAATGTTCAGGTAACAGCTACTTTATCACTAGCTGCTGCAAGCTCTTGTGCTGGGCTTACAGTTCTGTTTTCAAGAGACCTACATTTCTGCAGGGGTGAATACCATTTGCCATGCATCAACTACAAGTTTGCAGTTGCGTTCGCTTTTGTCACCTGGGGCCTTACTGCCATATCTTCTCACGTGATGTTTTGGATCTTATTGGCATCGGTTTAGAGACTCATGTTTTTCTGCCCTACCATTGAAACACATGTACGTTACAGCATTCATTTATTTTAACTTGTAAATGAGAAAGTTTCTGTAACATGCCTTTTTTTTTTTTTTTGGGGCAATTCAGCATCCTCCAATTTTTGTTTCAATGTCTGCTCATGCATCATATCTTGATCCACCTAATGTACGAAGATGTGCTGAAGAAGTTCTACAGATTCAATGTGATTTCTCGTTTGCTAGACGTCCAGAATTTAGGCATGGAATTTAAATACTTGGAACTGCATGCAGATTAGTTAATGTTCATAGATTTATTGGACCTGCGGGGATGTACATCCTCCTGCAATACACAGCAGATGTGTGATTTATTGCTAGACGTTCAACTATCACGCAATCTGAGCTTTGCTTCCCTTTAAAGCTACACTTTGTTTGTTGGTTACGTGTTCATATGTTTGTCAACTTGGTAGTGCTACCATATATAGGCCCCCTGATTTGAAGAGACAGATGGAGGTTTGGCTTAGATTAGAAACCAACCTGAAACTAGAAGGGCCGTGTAGATAGATCGAGGCAAGACAGGCAATGACTTTTTAACATACAACGCCTGTAAGGCAGTTGAATCATAGAAAAGTTTCTACAGTTGATGAAAGAAAAAAAGACCATACTTTCTAAAATTAGGATTTAGACAAGTTTCCATGGATGCGCTCACAAAAACAACTAGGATGCAGGAACATCACTTGTAACAATGCCGATCATATACTCAATCTCATAAGCAACCTCTTTCATCGAAGGCCGGTTTTGCCTCTGCTCATCCAAGCATGATGCTGATAGAAATCCCAGTGCCTTCATTGTCTCCAAGTCTAACTTGCTAGCTCCCTCTTTAATAACTGGATCAACAACATCCATCAACCTCTCTTCTTTCATCACCCTCTTCATGTACACCACTAAGTTCACATCTTCCTCTCCTCTGTTGAAATCAATAACTTTCATAGAAGTCAACAGCTCCAACAAAACAACTCCGAAGCTATAAACATCAATCTTATCAGTGAGTTGAAAGTTAATGTAATACTCAGGGTCTAGATAGCCAAGGGTCCCCTGAGCAAAGGTGGAGATGTGAGTATTTTTACTGGTGTCTGTGCTCTCAACCAGCCTTGAAAGCCCAAAGTCTGAAACTTTTGCCTCAAGCTTTTCGTCAAGCAAAATGTTGCTAGACTTCACGTCACGGTGGTAAATTGGTGGCACTGCAGAAGAGTGAAGATAGGCAAGACCTTCGGCAGTTCGGTGAGCGATTCGGAGCCTATGGTGCCAGCTGATCAGAGCCCATTTGCCTTGGTGATGGAGGTGAAGATGATCGAAAAGAGTGCCATTCGGAACGTACTCGAATATCAGGACAGGCTGCTGGTCCAGCTCAACCATACAGCCAAGGAGCCTCACCAAGCTCCTATGATTCACCTGGCAAAGAATTCGAACCTCATTTAGAATTTGATCAATGCCCTTGGTGTTGCCAAGCTTGGCACGCTTGATGGCTGTGATGGTCCCATCATCAAAAGTGCCCTTGAATACCTCACCAAAGCCACCAGAGCCAATGAGATTGTCCTTGGAAAAGTTGTTGGTTGCTCTTGCTATCTCCTTGGTGGTGAAGAAGATCCTGGCTGATTTGCCACTGCTTTTCGAAGATAATATCATCTGCTCCTGCTTCTTCATCAAACCCTTTTGTGCATTTCTCTTCAAATGGTGACGTTTGGTGTACCCTACAATCCCCATTATGCCAACAACTCCTCCTACAACCATGGCCATACCTGAAGAAGAGTTTTAAATAAGCAGAGAAGTTTGTATAGTTCAAAATAACATATTAGATATCTGACAAGAAAACATTATCCTACTGTACATCGTACCAATGGAGAGAACAAATTACCTATGAGTTTAGTTCGTTTCTTTCGATTTTTGCAGCCTTTTCCATGCTTACACTTGACCTCTACTCACAGTAATTAAAGCTTAATCAAACCTCTTTGTGAGCTAACTATGATAAAAATTCATGAAATTGACAAATTGGGTTTTGCTTACTTTGACAAAAACCATTGATGAAGTCCCATTTGAACCCACCATTGCAGAAGCACCTCCGCTGCCCCACACTACTCGGATCCACCAAACATTTTGAATTCAACAAGTACTTGCAATCCACAGGGCTCTTGCAAATGGGCTCTCCCGGCGAAACCCACTCCAGCTCCACACCAGGCTCAGGCCATTTCGTCTTCTTCACACCGACCACTGCACTACTTGGAGGACCATCAAAATTCACAAAGCTCTGGTACGCTGAGCACCCTCCTCCGTGGACCCTGATGATGTAAGCAGTCTGGGACCCACCAGTCCTGAACGTACAACACAGCGGTGCTCGCGTACACGCGGCCGCATTGTCCCTGATAAAGCTGTGGCACAGGGTGTTCGACGAGCAGTTTATCGGCGCCTGTAAATTCAACATGGCGTCTGTACAGTTCAAGAGCAAGACGGTGTTGCTGCTCGTGATGTTGAAGGGGAGGTTAGGGTCCAGCTGAATGCCTCGGCTGTGGAAATCGCTTGACAGGCAAGTATTCGGGGCAAGGCTGGCGGGTCGGATTGTGATTCGTTGGGTTTCCGGGTTGGTGGATGTGATGGCGTAGGAGGAGTTGTTCAGAGTGTCCAGCCATAGTGTGCCTGCGGTGCACCGGATCCTGTACCACGGCTCGCCGCACCTGGGTCCCGTGCTTAGCGGATATGGCACCGGAGTGGGGCCACAGTTTCCGCAACGCAGCGTGGCAGTTACCGAACGGGCACTGCATGATAGTAGTAGTAGTGTTAGCGCATGGAGAGTTGCTGTAAACATGAATTTCTCCATTTTATGGTTAAAATGGATGAAATATAGTGAGCCTTATAAGTTATAACCATTGTGCTTGCAGCATTGTAACTTGTTTGGTCCAGTTAATGGAGAATCTTGCTGTATGATTTTGTGGGGACACATTGTGTTACAAATTCACGTCCAATTGTTATATTAACGGTATAATTTAGATGAATTTACAACACCAATTTGATAAGAAACGTAATATCACCGTATCGAGTGATAACTTTTTCAATTGTTGATAATTGATAAAATTATTTGTATCGATCTACTGATTGCATTGCTTATTACATCATTTACAAAACCAAATAGGATTTACTCTAGAAGATCCCTTGAAAAATAGAATCACAAGTCATTTTTGTGTTTCCAAAGAACTTGTTGGCAAGCAGAATGGCTACTATTATATTGTATGATTATATGCATGCTTGGAAGAGCCCTAAGCCGTTTGTAGCATGGTATATGACACATATAACTCATCTAGGTCATCCAAATCCGGGCATTGTTTCTTGGAACATTGTTCAATTCATTGTTCGATCATGACTTGATTGATATTGGAAGTAACAAAAATCTCACAGTTGATATGCATACCACTCGTTCTTTTGCATTTGAATGAGCATGTTCCCCTGTCCACTCGACATTTCAAGATCCTAAAACCATCCTGCTCTGTTTAGCATCCCATAACAAATGTCAAATCCCAATTAACAATTCCAAGAGATCTTCCTCGGCTTCATTAGACACTTGTCCCTTCCTTATTGGCTTTTCTATCATATTGGAAAGTGAAATGATCTTCTAATCCCTACCCTCATCCCATGGTTGAATACAATGGACAGTTCCCTGACTTGGCCAGGATTTGAATCTTTTTTTTATTTGTGTTTGACATTTTCTATCAATTTCACATTTTTATTAGCATCCATGTCCTCATCAACTCAATATCTCTGTTAGTTTTCATGTTTGGTATTTCCTATTTTACAAGTTTGCAAATTGTTTTATTCAATTTTCAACCAAGAAGGCAACAAGGAAACTCTACCAAAAATCATAGCCTCTGTTATTATACAAAGCGCTACGGATGATTGCACGTGTCAGAAGTTTATCGGAAAAAGAAATAAAATTTAAAAATTTCCAATGCTAACTCCTTTGCCATTCATGGACCTAAGTTGCCGAAACCTGATTTGTAACAATACTAATGATGTACTCAATCTCGTCAGCAACTTCTTTCATTGAGGGCCGATTCTGCCTTCGCTCATCCAAGCAAGCCGAGGCTAGCGACCCCAAGGCTTTCATAGTCTCCAATTCTACAATGCCAGCCCCCTCTTTTATCCTAGGATCAATGGCATCCATTAGTCTCTCTTCCCTCAAAATGTTCTTAACATAGACCACCAAGTTCACATCCTCTTCTTGTCTGTTAAAATCAATAGCTTTCTTAGATGTCAACAGCTCCAACAGCACCACTCCAAAACTATAGACATCGCTCTTATCGGTCAGTTGAAAGTTTAGGTAATATTCGGGGTCAAGGTAACCCAAGGTCCCCTGAGCACATGTTGTGATGTGACTTGATTCAGTCATGGCAAGCCTTGACAGCCCGAAATCAGCAACTTTTGCATTGAGCTTGTCGTCAAGTAAAATGTTGCTTGATTTTATGTCACGGTGGTAAATTCGTGGCACGACAGAATCGTGCAGATAGGCAAGCCCTTCAGCTGTTTGATGAGCAATGGTAAGCCTCATAGGCCAAGTGAGTGAGACCCTTTTTGAAGTGTTGAAATTTCCTGTATGGAGATGTTCGAAAAGGGTACCGTTGCGGATATAGTCATAGATCAAGAGAGGCTGTTCAAGCTCAAGGCAACACCCCATCAATTTGACTAGGCTTCTATGGTTTACTTGACAGAGAATTCGAACTTCGTTGAGGATTTGATCCATGCCTTTTGTGTTGCCAGGCTTGGCTCTCTTGACTGCTGTGATTGTTCCATCATCAAGAACGCCTTTAAAGACTTCACCAAATCCACCAGAGCCAATAACGTTGTCTTTGGAGAAATTGTTGGTTGCTCTTGTGATTTCTTTGCCCGTGAAGATCTTGGCTGATTTGCCAGCACTATTGTTGGCATTTAGCATGTCTTCCCGGAACTTTGTTAAGCTAAAATGTGCTGATCTTGCAACGTTTTGGTCACGTCTCTTGTAGACTATAGATCCAATAATGGCTCCAATAAGCACTGCAACCGCAGCAAAGACCACGCCTAATTAAGAAGAAATTAGAAAAATAATCATTCATCCCAATCATTTAACCAGAAAAAAAAAAAAACAAAAACAGTATAAATTTCTTCAGTGACCAAGGCATACCTCCAATGAGTGGAGCTAGTTTCTTTCGACGTTTGCAGAGTCTCCAATTCGGACACTCGATGTCTACACAAAAAGACAGTTTTTGTATTAGCTTGAGAGCATGTAAAGAGCTTGTAAGTGCATATATTGTTAGCGAGAGATATCCTATTCTATTAGGATATTATTTTATTTATTTCCTTTTATATAGATATTATGTAATTAGGATTTCACTTGTTTTCCCAGTTTGACCCTACTAGGGTTTGTAACCTTGTATTATAAATACCTCCTTTCCGGAGAATGAAATACATCTGAAAATATTCTACCATATTGTTTGACTTGGCATCAGAGCCGACTTTCTGGTGACCTGTGTGTGTTGTGCCCCCCCGTGTTCTACTGTGTGCCCTAATTTCTTTTAGGGTTCTTGTGTCTGTGCCTTTGCCGTGTTCCGCTGTGTGCTCTGTCGTGTTCGTGCCTCTACTGTGTGCCTCTACTGTGTTCTTGCATTTGCTTCTACTGTGTTTGTGCCTCTGTTATCTTCGTGCATCTGCCATATTTGTGTCTGTGTTATGTTCTGTTGTATACTCTGCGTGATTTTTTGAGTTTCTGCTACAATCATGGGTGATAATTCCATTGTTGGTGCTGCTTCTGCTTCTGCAAATTTGCGTGTTTCTGACTCTATTCCAGGTACTGGCTCCAATACTTGGATAATTGACACTAGTGCTTCTGATCATATGACTTATGATGCTAAATTTTTTGATGAGTTGTCTAGTAACACCTGTGACTCATACATAACTAGTGTTAATGGTTTACCCTCTCCAATTACTGGCAAAGGCACCATTTCTCTCACCCCAACTCTGTCCTTGTCTCGTGCGTTATTAGTTCCCAATATCCATTGTAACTTGTTATCTGTTGGTCGCTTACTTGATACATTTAATGCTTCTGCTACTTTCTATCCTACCCATTGCTCTTTTTAAGATCTCAAGACTCACGAGGTGATTGGGCATGGTAAACGGATAGGGGGGTTGTATTATTTGACATTACCTTTTGCACCAGTTCGTGATCGTGTCATTAATACTGTTCAATGTTGCAGTGTCAAAGACAAACAGCAAATTTGGTTATGGTATCGTCACTTGGGACACCCGTCATTTAGCTACCTTAAGTGTCTGTTTCCATCTTTATTCCGCTCCTGTGATGAGTCTAGCTTCAAATGTGAGACTTGTGTAATGGCCAAGAGTCACCGTACTGTTTTTCCCTTAAGTAATAATAAAGCTGCTTTGCCTTTTGAGTTAGTCCATTCTGATGTATGAGGTCCTGCTCGTGTGACTTCTCATGGTTTCCGTTGGTTTGTTACGTTTATTGATGACTGCACTTGCTTAACATGGGTGTATTTGATGAAGAATAAACATGATATTGCCTCTATTCTCCCTGATTTTTGTGTCATGGTATCTACTCAGTTTCATGCTCATGTTAAAGTATTTCGGACCGATAATGGCGGTGAATATGTGAATCATACATTGAACCAATTCTTTCGTGATCACGGTATCATTCACCAAACTACCACTCCATTCACTCCTCAACAGAATGGCGTGTCTGAAAGGAAGAATCGTCAGTTACTTGAAGTTGCCCGCTTTCTTATGTTGGATATATCTATTCCCCATCATCTTTGGGGACATGGTGTCTTGGCCGCGGCCTACTTGATTAACCGTACTCCTAGTCGGGTTCTTGATTTCAAGACTCCGCTTTCTTATGTTGGATATATCTGTTCCCCATCATCTTTGGGGACATGGTGTCTTGGCCGCGGCCTACTTGATTAACCGTACTCCTAGTCGGGTTCTTGATTTCAAGACTCCGCTTTCTTATGTTGGATATATCTGTTCCCCATCATCTTTGGGGACATGGTGTCTTGGCCGCGGCCTACTTGATTAACCGTACTCCTAGTCGGGTTCTTGATTTCAAGACTCCGCTTTCTTATGTTGGATATATCTGTTCCCCATCATCTTTGGGGACATGGTGTCTTGGCCGCGGCCTACTTGATTAACCGTACTCCTAGTCGGGTTCTTGATTTCAAGACTCCGCTTTCTTATGTTGGATATATCTGTTCCCCATCATCTTTGGGGACATGGTGTCTTGGCCGCGGCCTACTTGATTAACCGTACTCCTAGTCGGGTTCTTGATTTCAAGACTCCGCTTTCTTATGTTGGATATATCTGTTCCCCATCATCTTTGGGGACATGGTGTCTTGGCCGCGGCCTACTTGATTAACCGTACTCCTAGTCGGGTTCTTGATTTCAAGACTCCGCTTGATGTGTTGTGTGCCCATACTCCTTCGGTTTCGGTCTCTAAGTTACCTCCGAAGGTGTTTGGGTGTGTTTCTTATGTTCATGTCTACTCCCATCAACGGAGTAAACTTCATCCTTGTGCTCTCCGTTGCGTTTTCATTGGCTATTCTACTACTCATAAGAGTTATAAGTGCTATCACCCGCCTACTCAGAAGGTACATGTTACTTTGGATGTCACCTTTCATGAAGAAGTACCCTATTATGTTTCCCCCTCCTCTTCAATTCAGGGGGAGAGGGAGAGTGAATTGAAGAGTTTCGGAGTAGAAAATATGGAAGATATTGGACCTGAAGAAGGAATTTCTGGCTAACAGGAAGAGACCGGTCACATGGAGGAAACGACCGGTTGCGAACGAATCTACCTGGATATGACCGGTCGCATAGAAGTGAGCGACCGGTCGCTAACGAAT